CTTGAGATGAGAAAGATTGGCTCTTCTACTCCGAATATCAATCAAACACCACTCTGGAAAGCAAAGAACCAAGATTTGCGAAAGTTTCTTGCTCTCTCTGAGAATGAAAATACTGTGACTTTGCCTGAAAGAAGCTTGGGGTTTATATAGCTGAGGAAGTGGCGCTTTGGTTTCCCGAAGTCAAGCGACTTTGGGCGGAAAACACATCTTACCATTGATCGCGACCATGTGTTTTGAATCAACAAAGAAGAGTGACCGTCATGCCTCGAAAAATCAGATCGTCATCCCTTTCCATTGAAATACTCAAATGATAGCACGTACTCAAATGATAGCACGTTTTCCCTCATCCACATTTAATACGCCCACGTCCGCATTTAATGCTTTGATAGGGAATGTCATTTCAGCATGCCTCGCATTTAATGCGTATGGCTGACACTTATTACGCTTAAGACACGTCTGTCAGAGCAAAAGGTGCTTCATTTAATGTATCTGCTGCAAAAGTGCAACGGATAACATCTGAAGAGGTCGTTATGAAAAACACTTTTCATTTCGTAAGTCGCAAAGCGGCGTAACTCTTCAACCTCGTCTCACGTTGGTTGCGAAGCAATGTGATTCCTCAACCTTGACAGATATCAGTTGCGAAACAGTAACCACTTAACCTCTTGAAGGTTGCTAAGTGTAGACAGGTCAGAGATTCCACCCAGGTCGGAACCATCATTATAGCATTGGATACCCAAATCTAGGTCGCTGATTGAAGGTCAAAGATCACCCCAGGTCACATGCGAAGAGATGTCTTTTCGACCTCTTTCATAATCAAGTCTTTTTGAACAGCATCTCTTCGAGCACGTCAGATCAAGGCATTTGTAATTTCCAAGGTTCAATTCTCCAACCTTAAAAATTAGGGGACTTCTATTATGCCTGGAAAAGTAAGGCTGACATAGTGCCCAGTCAGTGCAAGTGGTCAAGGTCTGGGCAGATCCTGCAGCCATTCAAGCACGGCCACGTCGCATGATGACGTGAGCAGCATGCTCCTGCCAGTGTAGTGGGTGCGCGCCAGACTGACGAAAGGCTGGAGGTCGTCCACGTGTCCAATCTCTGCATAAAGCAAAGAGATCACGCGAGTAGGTGGATAACAGGACGCAAAGGAAGATCTGCACAGTATCTGACCCTTTTTTTACGAATTCAGTAATCATTACCTCAATATATCCCATTATAAATAGAGAGCTCCTCTCCTGTTTGTGGGATTGGCTCATTTTTACTCTTGATTAGTCATCTTCTCTCTGTAATAGCTCTCTCTCTCTCTCTCTCTCTCTCTCATTTGTATTCTCATCAGCTCACCACGCCGCGACCTGATCCTCTAAATATAAATACAATATCATTGGACGTAGGATTCGTTTGTTTAAGCATCTGAACCACTTTAAACATTGTCTTGCCACCATTTACAATCTCAATCCTCCATTCACGTGTGTCTTCTGGGCCAGCTCAGCATTTCACATGTGCGTTTAGTTGGTGTCAAAATCGCGCATCAACAATACTAAACTCTTTTCATGGTGAAACTCACAATAAAGTTATTACTAGCAAATAGCAATTGTTTAAAAGATTTTGTTTTCGGTTCACTTTACTACTAAGTTCTAGTTGTATTTTGCTTGACATTATGGTTGATCACAATCACCCTCAAGGAAATGACGCAACAGGGTTGTAGAATGTTTCATTTCTTTAAGAAGAAAGATGAGGAGAACTATCTGAAGACAATGTGACCATGGTAGATGTTGATTCAAGAAAAAAGATTAAAAGCCTACTCCAACGGAAACGCTTCAACGATCTCATAGCGACTCTAGCTTTGTAAGCTCTCATTAACCTTCACATACTAAACAAATAATTTTTTATTATAACTAAGCAACAATGGTGTTTTGTTATCAACCTTTTACTAACAAAGCAGGGTTATTGAAACTTGCAGTCAAGTGAAGAAGAGGACGAAAATGGGGAGAAGAAAAAGAAGAAGATGAAGCAGGGATTGAAGGAACGGATCAAGGAGAAAATCTCTGCTGAAAAGGAAGAAACTACAGAGAACAAAGACTCTTTCATTCCAGTAGAGAAATTTGACGAAAAACCAAATGCAGAAGCAATTCATCCAAATGGCAAAAAAATTCTGCAGTTTAATACAGGGGCTTTAAAATTCGGGTTATGATTTGGGTACCTAAAACCCAAACCGATAATTCTGGTATCCGGATAATCGGTTCGGGTGTCGAGTACCCTTATAGCATGACCCAAATATTGAAGTTAGGTTGGGTAAAGGCAAAACCAGTTCGAGTACCTAGTTTTGCACACCCCTACCTATTAGACATTATTAGTAATAGAAAACTACTGCGTTTACAACTCAATCACAAAACATTTTCTTACAACCCTAACTTAGCAATGATTGGTATTATTACGTTAACTCTCACCATACTCAAGACACTACTAGAAATAAACGGTCGTTTTTTCAGAAGGAACATCATTCCTTCATAGGGAATGATTATTTATATCACTCCTTATGAAAGGAATTATTATTCCTTAAGGAACAAGCATTCTTTCATCAGGAATGGATGTTCATTCTTTTCATAAGGAATGGTTATTCCTTCATAGGGAACGGTCATTCTTTCTGTAAGAAACGACTATTCTTTCATAAAAAATGGTCATTCTTATGAAGGAACAGTTGTTCTTTCGGTCTAGTCAAAATCATTTTGTGTCTTCGGTGTGGTAGAGTTGACGTGATAATGTCAACTCAACTAATATATCGAAGTTGTAAGAGAAGTTTGTAAGAATAGATTGTAAACGTATAACATTACTCGTTAGTAATATTATGGTAAACAAACAAACGTGTCCAATCTAATATATATAACTTAAAATAAACATTAACACATACAATAATTAGGGTTCCAATTGCTGACAAAATAAGATTTTTTGATGGCATAGCTGTATACCATAACAATTAAGTTCTACTTTTACGTGCTACTTAGCTGGCCAACACATGATGCATTTGTTTGTAAACTATTTCCACTTTAATGTTTAATTTTACACTCAAATGTTTGCCGATCCAGACTATGAATTAATACTATATTGTTGTTGATTTCAATTTAATTCATCTTGTTTGACCCATTTAACTAATAAAAATAATAAAATCTGATACAATATTTTTATATATAATTTTTTAAACAATAATATTATCTAATGTTGATAATTATATTGTTAACAATTTTATTTTCAGATTTATAAGTGAGAAAGATGACAAGAGGATAGTTTGAGAAATAAAGTCGTGCTGTATGTGATTTTCTTTTGTTATTAATTAAAAAAGTTGATATATAATTATGTTATTGAATATAGAATATAATTATTAGTTAAAATTTATACATTTTTGGGGCGGAATAAAGCAGATCATACATTAAGAGAACGAGAATAGATCAATTTCAGCATCCCCCATTTCACTACTTTTCATACCCATTATATTAATTTGCAATGTTTATAATATAGAATAGATCTCTATCATCAAATCTATATTATAATGGTAGGCTGAAATATCGAGGGATCAAAAACAAAAAGACGAATGAATGCCAATGAACATCAGGGAAAATGGGGTCGGTGTTAATTGCAACTTTTATAAATTGACTGCTGGAATCTCTATTTAATAAGATCGACAAAGACACCTATAATTTCTTCTCATTATATTATCTCAGAGCCAACCTGATAAGAACATCCACTACTCTTTTAAGTTCAACTCGTTTCACATGGAAACAAACAGGAGTGTTTCACTTTCATAACATCCAAGAGCAACATAGGGAATGCCACTTGGCAACCGAATATACAGTATAAACCTATTTAAATATATCAACTAAATATCATATATTGGTACCTTCTCTACTCTACCACAAGTGAAGATCACAATCTATATATTGATTGGGCACATAATGGCTCTTAATACTTCTCTAACCTAACCTATTACCAATTAATAATAGTATGTTTGTAGCACTAGCACATAGTGTCAGTGTACAACTGATGAGGGAGCAACTAATCAATAACTAGCCATGATAAAAGGGCATTATTATGAAAAAAAAATATATAATTATAAGAGTATCACATCATTCATATTACTCGATTAAGAGTTCAGTGGTTATATATATTAGCAATTGAGGAGCTTTTCACTTAGAGGGCAATTAAACCGAAGGACTCTAACTCAAGATATTTTAAATAATATATGCAAGATCAAACCACTCGACTACCCAGAGGTACCTTAACCTCTACCACATATATTGGTACCTTAACCACCCCTCTACCACAAGTGAAGATCACAATCTATATATGGATTGGACACATAATGGCTCTTAATACTTCTTTAACCTAACCTATTACCAATTAATAGTAGTAATATGTTTGTAGCACATAGTATTAGTGTTACAAAGTAAAACTGAGTGACAGTATTAGTGTTACAGTGTAAAACTGAGTGAGCAACTAATTAATAACTAGTCATGATAAAACGGCATTATTATGAAAAAAAAAAAATTAGAATATAAGGGTATTACATCATTTATATTACTCAAAGTAAGAGCTTAATGGCTATATATATTAACAATTGAAAAGGTTTTTACTGAAAGAGCAACTAAATTGAAGGATTCGAACTCAGAACATTTTGAATAATATATGCAAAACACCCAAAGATAGTTAAGAAATAATTTTTTTACTATAATCAAATGTTACTAGTACCAAATCCAAATCCCATGTTATAGGAGTCACTTTATATATTGTATACATGGGGTGAAATAATCCGACAATAAATTGGCTCTGCCTCCAGCTACTAACATTTCCATTCAGTCAGGTGAGTAACTAATAATATGTGTCAGAAGATAGAGACTCCGGTCTATTGTCAATTTATTTTTACCCATTTTTTAGAAACATCTGCAAAAGCATACGGCATACACAAATACCATGCATGCAACTCTGTCACAATACAACCCTATTTCCCCTACACCAAATCTTACCAGTACAATACAAGTACGACTACTCCTTTAACAACTCAAGAAAATTATTGATTACAGATTGATTTAGATGGTAAAATTATTTGGCTCACCTTTTTGTGATGAGAAAAAAGCCGACGGAAGTGATCCCTCAATCTTTCTTGGGGAATCCAGAGACCGTCGAACCAGATGTTTCATGGCAGAAATTAAATCTTCAGTAGGATGTTTAGGCGGACTAGAAGATCTGAACTGCTGACAGAACTTCATGTGACGATTCAGAGCTTCGTGAGTAGTGATCATTATTTTACCTCTCTTTGACCTACAACTCTCGTCTTTAACTGCCTCCGCACACAGTCCGCATATCCACCGTCCTTCGTACCGCTCCGCCACGCCGGCAATGTACGCCTCCGTGTACTCCTCCGTCAGTCCACAGCATTCGCATCTCGCGAACACTATAAACTCTGATTCACGTTGACTGCCACTGCTATGCTTCCTCATAACCACTGATGAAGAAGCTGATTCGGCGTCGTTTATGATCACTCTTGTAGCCATAGATTCATATACCGTTATTTCAAAATCACTTCGGTTACCGAAATTCAAAACTCTTTTGAAATATTATCTCTGTTGTAAGTAACGGACGAGGTAACCGTTGAGACTGCCGAGATTATCTCTCCTTCTCCGGCTCGCCTTCTTAAACCTTTTCGTACATGAACAAAACGCTGCGTTTCATGTACATTTCAGACCTTCAATCGGCTCTTTACTGTAAATGTGGAGAAATTGCAGAGAAAAAAAATTTCCTTTTATATCTGTTTCTTTTCTTCCTTTAGCCACCAATCATGGGCAGGTCGTAAGCCTCTGATATTGTTCACGTGTTTCCTCTACGGCAGGGTACACTGTAACCCTGTGATCCCTATTGATTTGATCCTGGTTGTTTGGAGACTTTTTCGTGTTAACACGTGGATTGAAATTAGTGGTTTTTGTTAATTGTTTAATTTGATACTTGAAGCAGGTGATTTAAAGGCTTTAATGCCCTGCGAATTTTGGAGAAAGCCGTATCCAGCTGTCAGGACAATGACGTTTTTACGGGTCGTGCAAGCCAAACGTGCTCTTTCCAGGAATTTCTTTTCTTCAGACACGCGCTATCTCAGGCGAGTGTAGCTGTTGTGTTTGAAGTACAGCACCAGAAATTTGTTATTGACACTTTTTTTAATTCTTATTCTAACCTTAAAATAATGAATTTATAATGAAGTTTTAAAAATAAAAAAATTTTTTTTTACGCATGCAATAGTACTATAATAGAATGAGAGAGTAAGAAAAAATTATACAAAAATATCTTTACATTAATTTAAGCTCGGTTTATTTCGTTTTTGGGAATACAATTATTAATATTCCCAAAAAAGTTAAACAGTAAAATGTCATTATTTCAAAAATATTATTCTATATTTTTTAATTTCTTTTAAACCTCCTAAATTTGTTAATTTAACTAAACACCCCCAAATATTTTTTTTAGAAATTGCAAAAACACTCCGGCCACCCTCCTGCGATGGTGGCAGGCTATCCGTATTTAATGGGTGAGTTGAGGGTGTTTTTGTTAACTTTTAATATTTTATTATATGGGTGTTTAGTAAATAAATAAACATAGGGGATATTTTTATTAATTTCTAAATCATACATCGTAATACCCACTCAATTTAACTTTTTTCAAAAGATTATTCTAAAAACTATCAGAATAATGAATCAAACGGAACCTTAGTTTTTATCTATATTTAACCTAAATTTAATTTTTTAACAAAAGTATGATATAAAAGATTATAAATTTTATGATCGTTCCAGTTACCTCTAGGTCATCGGATGATACGTAAGTTTTTTTAAAATTTAAATATTATCCCAGGACTTTTAAGCTTTTCTTTAGTAAAGGGATGCTTGTGCAATTTAATTAAGTTTCATAATGAGATGGATTCTTTTAACGGAATAGAGGTTGGCATTCAATTTTTCTAACCAACAGGCGGTTTGTATAATTCACGGATCCCTTGGGGGGTTTGCTTAATAACCTTATTCTAACACTTTAAAACATGTTACGCAATGTCAAAGCAATGACTTACTGTACCATGCAGGGTGGCATGCGCGTGGGACTGCGTGAGTAGCATTACTTGTCTGAGTAGAAGAAGTAATTGAGTAGATTTGGCCTGTTTGTACATATCAAACATTACCAAATCAGTTTCCGCCACATAAGCTATAACTTAGAAGAACAATATCATAACTTCACTATAAAAAAAAATAGGGCTGAAAATTTGGATTTGAATTTAATTTTTAATTAAAATTAAATTGATCTTTAATCCATCATTAAACATAATTTTCTGATTTTCTGATTTAATTAAAAATTAATTATATTTGATTCATTGACTAGTTTGTTTCATCAATTTGCTGGTTGCAATCTATTAACATATGTTTAGCTTGTATTTTTATTTAATAATAAAAAAACAAAAAAGATATCAATCTAAGGACTAATAATTTAACATAACATATTCAAATTTAATTACTTTTGCAATTCATTACCCGTTTAAATATCATCGAATTAAAATAAAAATCAGATCAATTAATTCACGCTATCAAATTTATGTCACCACAAAATGTAAAAAATAAAAACAAAGGGTTGTATCTTATACATGTTGAATAAATAACTCATATTTTGAAGGTATTTCCTTAATTAATATATAGGCCATATTATCAATCACAAAAATGTTATCGAACAATGACGAAAAAACATGACATAATTTTATTGGGTATCTTAAAAGAAAAATTAAGTATTCCATTGACATATAAGGTAGACCTAGGCAAGGATCGGTCCCAACCGGGTACGGGTCTGGACCCGATTGGGACTGGTCCCATTTGAGACTAGTCACTCATGGGCCTGGGATCGGTCCCATACCCATGAGAAATTTCAAGGCTCGGACCTGTCCCTAGGACCAGTCTTGGGCCCATAAGACTGATCCTAGGACCGGTCCCATAGGCCTGGAAAACTTTGTTCCACCCCCCAACGTTTTTTTTATATTTAGGAGTTAAATAAAATTATGTAGGGGGATTTACATAATTTTTAGGGGCCTGGAAAATTTATTTGCACTATGGAGATTAGTAAATTTTGTAAAATATCAATTTAACCCTCAATATTTTTGTCCATTTTAAAATTATAAAGGGTTTTTGGATATTTTTAGATGACTTTTTTGAAAAAATGCAAAGGGGTTTAGGTCCTAGGCTTGGGCCATGGAGGAGGGCCCGATCTAGGGAGGGACTTGGGACCAAGCCTCATAGGACTGGTCCTTGTGAGGACCAGTCTTAGGATCAGTTTTTTGGGCCAGTTTTTTGGGATCAGTCCCAAATGCCTAGGTCTAATATAAGGATTTATAAATGAGTCGAGTTAGGGTAGATACTCAATTCATATGTCCATTGTCACAGGCTGGGAATTTCACACCTAAAAGGCTAACCTATTATGTAGAGGGACTCCCCCCATTCATAAACCTAAGACCTCCCCAATGCGCTTCTGATGTGGGATTCATTACAATCTCCCTCACCCATCCTGTGACGCCCTCATCACAGGTGAGGCCCCTTATTTACCCGTCCACCTCACTCTTGTGTGGACCCACAATCATATATAGACGCCCCCGCGTGGGTGATTGGTGGGACATCGAAAGATAAACCAAGTCTACTCTAATACCGCTTGTCACGAGCTAAGAGTTTTACACCAAAAAAGCTAACCTATTAGGTGAAGGGATTCCCCCAATTTATAAGCTCAGGACCTCTTTAGTACGCTTCCGATGTGGGATTCGTTACACCATGCCTGACATTTTTATGAATACCCAACTTTACTTTATTATCCATTTTTTTTAAATATGGTGTGGGTTTGAGTTTGATTTGAATGGGAAAATTTTGCTTCGCCTCCGTTGACCTATTTGTTTTATATGTATAAAAAAATGAATATAATAAAATATGTAAAAAAGAATTGTATAATAAATTATCACAATAATAAAGAATACTAATATTATCTAACATAAAATTTATGAGCAATACTACATTTACAACTTTTTCATACAACTTTAGCGTGATAGCTCATGATTGGTCAGTTTAAAATGGGTCTCATCTGCACAAATACGAGATGACCAATCGCAAGCTACTACGTTAGGATTGTATAAAAAATTTGTATGAAAAAGTTTTAACTATAGTTTTATTGAAAATTTATAATACTTTTGTATATATGAAATGTGAAACTGAGAAAACTGTAACATTGATATTTATTCAAAGTTTAATAATTATATCATAAAAATTATCTAAAAAATCATAAATTCAAAGTCTAAAATTTGCATCAATTTAACATCAAGCACCAGAAAAGAGTTAACACCTTAACTATATTTGAGTGGTCGAGTGGTTTGATAGGGAATCTTTGGTATATTATTCAAGGGGTTATGAGTTCGAGTCTCACCTTAGGTAATAATAAAAGTAGTCACTCGAGCTTTTACCTAATCGGTAATTTCAAGATTCCAGAGGATTAGTTGAAGTGCGCATAACCTAGTCTGGACACCCCCTGTCATCACAAAAAAAAAAAAAAAAAAAAAAAAAAAAAAGAGTAAATGTCTTTCTTCTTCACGACCAGGTACAATAGTGAAAGGAAAAAAAAATATTATGTTACCTATATTATATTATTAATTCATAAAAAAATAATAACACTTGAAATCTCATTAGTATCTTCATGATTTCCACAAAATGCGTCACAAAAGGAAGATGACAAGAAAGAAAAATGAAGTTAATGGAGAAAAAAGGTTGTGATGGCTAGGATTTCTTTTTTGGAAAAAAACGATAAAAGTGAATAATATACAGCATGTTTGGTTCATTATTTTTATTCCTATTCTGGATCGGATTATTAAAATAATGTTTGGTTCATTTTTTTCAAAACTCTATCCCCAAAACATGATCCTGACACAAGTTTGAATTGTCTGCATCTTCACAGCTTTCTCAGGTTTTGACCGTTTCAATTTTTTTTTTATTCATTTTTCTGCACTGCGTGAACCATTTTCTTCACCATTTTTCTTCACTTTTCGTGACTGCTTCACCATTTTCTGCGCTGCATCTGACTGAGAAAATTAAACCATTTTCTTCACTGCAGTCTTCACCATTTTTCTTCACTTTTCGTCACTGCTTCACCATTTTCTGCACTGCATCTGACTGAGGCGTGGACCATTTTCTTCACTGCATTCTTCACCATTTTCTTCACTGCATCTTCACAACCGTGAACCCACCTCAGCTACTGCATCGCAACAACCGTGAACCCACCTCAGCTACTGCAGCTCCCCAGTCGTGAACCCACCTCAGCTATTGCATCTTCACAACCATGAACCCACCTCAGCTACTATAGCTCCCCAACCATCAACCCACCTCAACTACTGCATCTTCACAGCCATGAACCCACCTCAGCTCCCCAACCACCGTGAACCCAGATCTGTCACTTCTCTTCTCACGTTCGCAAATCGCAAGTTGTGAAGCTGATTTCTCTCTCAATTCCATGCCATTGTTCTCCTTCCCATTCGGCTATTTTTATACAAAGTTCGTTGATTAATTTTCTTCGGCGAAAGTATTTTCCAGTTTTTTATTTCTATTTCTTTGACTTCGTGTGTAGAAATTGTTGTAATTGGTGGTATTGAACTTAATGGTCGTGGATGTTTGTGATAATAGAGTGATTAATGTTGTGGTATGATGGTG